TCCTATCTGTGAACTAAGGATGATCAGACTTCTTACTGCCAACCTCTGGCTTATTTAGCTCATGAACTCTTTAGGGCAGCAATGGTCTCTGACTATGTATTTGTGCAGCGCATGACACAATGGAGCTCCAATCTCAGTTGCAGCTTCTAGGTGCTACAATAATAATAATGTTGATTAGATTACTCTTGTATAGTCAGACCTGCTTTAGGCAAATTCGTTTGCAAAGTCTATAATCATTTGCATTTTTTAAAAAAAGCTTTCAGATAAGCAGGTGAACAGCGAACTAGGCCAGATTATAAAGACCTCACTATTTCTGATCTAGTAGGTTAATTGTTAACACTGTAACTACAAACAAATTTGGGAGACATACCTAGCCTCGGTACCATTCCAGCTGCTGAAAGGAATCAACCTGCTATCTCAGGAATACAAAATTCTAATAACCAGCCTGAAAAATTCAGTGAATTTGCACCAACACAAAAGCATGGGGGTCCCTGTTTGATTTTTAAAGTATAGGGTTGTTGTCAAGGGTATTTGAAGGTCAAATATCTGCCCCATTTTAATAATAGTTATAATCAATAGAGAGAGTTTTCTGGGCCCTCATTAGCTAATTTTTTTTTTAAATCAAACATTCTATTACCAATAAACATGCTGGCCACATTTTTGTAGGACCTACATATAAACATAATATTTAGTGCTTCCTCTGTTGGTTCTACAGCAGTAATTAAATAGATGACACTATTCCTAGAGAGTTGTTCTGCTTGGAGGAACAATGGCTCATTCTGGCATGATGTACTGTAGAAATAAAAGTAAGTGATGTTAAACGGAAAGGGCCATGTTAATTTCAGCTCCATTTGAAACACAGAAGTGGAGGGACGAGCGAGAGATAGATTACTATATGGAAGAGGACAGATTTAGTAGAGAACAAAGAGTCTAGGGCAATATTAACAAATGCTGGAGAGGAAACACAGTTAAAAATCATGAAAAGTAATTTACTCTGTCCCTGCCAAAATGTCCTGAGATCCCCCTTTCCCCAGCACTGTTAGCGGTATCAGTTAGTGGGACCGGAGATCAGCCAGTAGAATAGTGTGTGTGTGTGTCTGTGTGTGTGTGTACACACCTGGGACATGGGGAAGAGAAACTACAACCTCAAGCTCCAACGACGCATGTTCCCAGATTTCAGCTAAAGAAAGAGTCCTGCTACTTTTTCAAAGGAATGGGCCCTGATGTGTAGAGGAGCAGCACCGCGCCATCGAGTAGAGGGAGCACACACACATCCATGCTCCGGGACAGGGTGCACTGGAGTTTAGCTGAAGAGTTAAGCTGCTCTGCTATTTCCCGTATTTCGCGGAAGCTCCTTCCTTGCTGACTGCAGAGCTGGGCTATTCAGGCCTCATTTCTTTAATGCTCTCGGGTTTTTGTACAGAACACGACATCTTGACAAATCTCCAATGGATCTGCCCAACGGTAATAACACAAGGCTGAGTACAACACCTGCAGGTAATGAAACGACTGCTACTTTACTAGCCTACTGTATGCAGGGATGACAGAGGATCGTGCACTCACTGCATGCCATTCCAGCTGTGCTCATCCGTCATTATTATGGTGAGAGCTGAATCAGAGCAAATCCCAAACTATCATTGCTCAAGCTTAGTTACTAGAGGCCTGATCCAATGCCCAGTGAAGTCAACGGAAAGACTCACACAGATTTCAATAGGCATTGGACCTGGTTCTAACTGGGGGTGGGGAATAGCTGACTAAGGCAAAACCCCAGCTACAACATGCCTCTCCTGAACTTTGGGAGAGAGTTTGGACCAGAACCTGAACATGGTGGGTCGGGCCTCGGTGTGGTTCGAGGGAGAGGAAACTGGATCCTATTCTTTCATCAACAAAATTCTTAACTAAATTCCAATCAGTTGCATCCATGCCAGGGGAAGGCAATGGGTTTCACAGGTGTCACTAAAGGCATAATCTGAAAGCATCACCTGACCTGTAGAACCTTTACCACTAGTAATGCTGCATGAGAAGTAAAGTTTCACAAGAGTTTAAGGCCAGAAGGACCACAAAATCATCTAGTCTGACCTGTGTACCGTAGGCCCTTGAATCTCACTGTTGCCTCTGCATTGAGCTCAATAACTTGTGTTTGACTAAAGCCTCTTCCAGAAAGTCTTGATTTGAAGACATCAAGAAATGGTGACTCCTCCACTTCCCTTGATCACCCTCACCGTTACAAAACTGTGCCTTATTTTTGATTTGAATGTGTCTGGCTTCAGCTTCCAGCCACTAGTTCTTGTTGTGCCTTTCTCCACTAGATTAGATTAAAGAGCCCTAAAATACCTGTAATTTCTCCCCTTGAAGGTACTTATACACTGTAATCAAGTCAGCGCTCAATCTTCAAGCGCAACAGATTCAGCTTTCTAAGTCTCTCACTGTAAAGCATTTTCTCCAGCCCTCAAATATTTTTTGTGGCTTATTTCTACACCCTCTCCAATTTTTTCAACAGCCCTTTTAAGTGATGTGGGCATCAAACCTGGACACAGTATTCCAGTCTCAGTCTCATCAATGCAGTCCACAGGAGGTAAAAATCACCTTCCTCACTGTTCTCCTGAACCTGGCAGGACTCTCAGACCCCAGGCTGAGGCTGCAGGGCCGGCAGCTGGAAAACTTGTGGTTTTGCTTATGGAGTGAGCACGTTTGATCGGGAACCACTGAGGCACAACCATGGAGTCCCACAAAAGCATTTTTACAAAGCCACTTTTCAGAGCACAGTTGTATGTTAAAGGGCAAGACCAACCAAATAAGAGAACTGCATATGAGTACGGAGTAATTCATCTTAAAACACAAATTATGACCTTTCTACAATTCTTTGCCCTCAAGTCTAACTGAGCTGTTTTTGAAGTTGGAAGAAAGTTCTGAAAGGCGACAGAACCTATGTAAGCAATCATAGAACCATAGGGTTAGAAGCAGGGCCGGCTCCAGCGTTTTTGCTGCCCCAAGCGATCGGCGGCACTTCAGCGGCAGCTCTACCGCTGCCGCTTCCTTCTTCGGCGGCAATTCGGCAGCAGGTCCTTCCCTCTGAGAGGGACTGAGGGACCTGCCACCGAAGACCCGGACGTGCCGCCCATTTCCGTTGGCCGCCCCAAGCACCTGCTTGCTACGCTGGTGCCTGGAGCCGGCCCTGGTTAGAAGGTGCCTGCAAGGGTCATCTAGTCTAACCCTCTGCCACGATGCAGGATTTGTTGTGTCTAAAGCAAACAAACTCTGGGTGAAAGCCTGCCTCCATTGAAGCCAGGGGCAAAACGCTGTCCCTGCTGTATTTTCAGCCTGCCTGCAACTATACTCAAACCTGCAGTCAGCCCCAGTCTCCTGCTCTCCCCCACAAAGAGCTAGATGGCATTCCTGGTACATCCATCGCTCCCAGTAGCTTCCATGGGCATTGAGGCTTAATTTCCTGCACACCCGAAACCCCCACTGAAGGAGCTCTGGATGTGCAAGGAACGCAGGACTGGAAGCCCGAGTAAGGTTTTCCAATACACAGAGCTGACAATCAAATCTACCCATCCAGCTACAATACTTTCCCTGCGAGACAAATGAAAAACACCACCCTGTTTCATCAATGTCCATTTTCAAAAGTGAATCTCAAGGAAAACAGAGCAAAAGCCCTTTGTAACAGAGCTCTTTGAAAGCCCAGAGCCCAGTTGTATTGAGCAGGCTCTCAAAACTAACAAGAAAGGCCGTGCCCGTTTGGTCTTTGGCTTTCACAGGGCAGTCAGGCAAGAGGGAGGGATTCCACAAACAGCAGCTAACTGAGAACCTGCTCATATAAAAGGCTTTGCTGACATTAAAGTGCTGTTTGGAACAGCCAAGCAGTGTCTTGCAGTCAGAGTTCAACAAGAAACCGGTTAATGTCAATTGGTAGCAAACTGTAAGCAGGCACATCTGAATTCCTTGACTAACATTTTGCCCTTCTGTGATCTTTCCATCTGAGGAGCTCAGAGCACGCTACATGGATGAAAAGACCTTCACAACACCCCTGTGCAGTACTGTAGTATTTCTACTCACGTCTTATAGATAGGGAAACTGAGGCACAGAGCTATCCGTGACTCTGCACGAGAGAGAGAGAGATGGGAATGGCACTGGGGACTCCTAAAGTCACAGTCCCATGTTCAGCCACCAGACTGTGCTGTCCCCCTTACTGTTAATATAAAAAAGGCTTATTAAATAAAATTTTTTGTCTCCTGGACCGTTCATTAAGAGTGTTAACATACAGTAGCCTTGAATGTACTAGAGAGCTTTTTATCCATCTGTAATCTCTTGTCTTATACTTAGAGTATAAGCGCTTTGGGATGGTCTTTTTGTTCTGGTTTGGACAGTGCCCAGCACAATGGGGTCCTGGTCCATGACTCGGGTTCCTAGGCACTACTGCAATACAAGTAATGCATAAATAATAATAATAGTATAATATTTCCAGACCAGTTTTGCAGATTTAGGTTTTCAGGTAGGGTCCTATATATCAGAACCATTCTGCCATTATACCGACAAGTCACTCCTGTCTGGCACTGGTGAGAGAGACAAGGTGAGTGAGGTAATATCTTTTATTGGACCCACTTCTGCTGGTGAGAGAGGCAAGCTTTCAAGTTTAAAGCTGAGATTTCTAACAGACTCTGTTTTATGGTTATTTCTTCCTCCCAATTCTCCTTCCTGTATCCTACGTGTCTGTTTGGTCCATCTGTTGCATCCGGACACTTTGACTGCAAACTCTTTTGGGCTGAGACTATGAGTCGTCTTTGCTACTTGTCCGTAGAGCACCTAGCCCGGATTCTGGGTTGTATTAAGATGCACCAATGAACCCCAAACAACAAAACACAAATTGAAAGCTCCTGGGAAAAGGGTGGAAATCGAGCTCTCTGCAGGAGGATGGACTCAAACAGGATATAGGGTTCTGACAGCTCGCAAAAAGTCCGGCCAAACAACCAAACTTCAGGGTGCTCATCTAAACTGACCTCCAAACCTTTAGAGCGGTTGAAGCATCAGTCCTTTTGCCAAGTCCCGGATGGAACTATGCTGAGACTGAGCTGTCTCTCTCTCTCTTCACAGGCAGATTTGGATGCATTAGGAGTTACATGTGTAAAAATCCCATCGGTGCCACTTGAAACAGACTCTGAAAGATATAAAGAAGTGCTTTGTGAACCACCAAACTGGCTACCGCAACTAGGCAAATGAAGTGCATCTAATCCACTGGGCCTTCCTGGGGCAGATATCTTAGTGGTTTGAGCACTGGCCTGCTAAACCCAGGGTTGTGAGTTCAATCCTTGAGGGGGCCAGAGGGATCTGGGGCAAAAAAATCTGTCTGGAAATTGGTCCTGCTTTGAGCAGGGGGCTGGGCTAGATGACCTCCTGAGGTCCCTTCCAACCCTGGTATTCTATGATTCTATGATCCCAGTTACTGCCTAGTAGTAAAAGGGCTGTGATTTCCAGGGAGCCATCCTGCTCCCAACCAGGTGTATCAATCAGACTTATTATGTGTATTGTGGTTGTGCCTGGAGGTCACCAACCAGGGAACAAGGCCCCATTGTGCTAAGTAGGCCCTGCCCCAAAGAGCTTACAACCTAAGTAAGTATTGTGCTCACCTGGGGTCTGATGCAAAGCCCACTGATGTCTCTAGGAACCTTTTTGTTGACTTCAATGGCCTTTGAATCAGGCCTTTGATGGCCAGCCACACTACAGATCTGACCTATTATTAAAACTGGGGAAAAGGGGAATCAGGAGCAAGAGACAATATTCAACAGACCAAGAGTTCAATCTAACTCCAAATGAAATGAACCATCCTGACTCCAGTCGGACTTGAATCAGGCTCATCTTGACTGACTAACTGGGGTTTCTCTGGACGGGCAGTGACTGGGTGAATCTCACTTTGGAAAGGGGTGATTTAGAGAGAGTTTTGTAGTGACCCCAAAAAGATTCTGCCATTTACTCTAGTAACAAGTGAGCTGTGAATCTTAAAAATATTCACTGTTATCTTAGGAGTAACTTTCTTGTGTCATAAGTTTTTTTCCCCCTCTTGTATCATGTTTAGATAATTGCATTCAAGCAAGAGAATTTCTCCCTGATGCATCAGAACCCACTTAACACTTTGCAGAAGAGCCAGTATGTTTTACAGGGGACAGGAGCAAGCCTTGAGCACTCATGGAGCTAGTTCCCATGGAGTTTTTCGCAAGACTGAGGATGTGAGCCCCAGATTCTTATTTGGGCACATTCTGCCCATCTAAGCTCTCCCTGAAGTTTCAGCTGGGCAAGTTATTTTTCACTTTCTGTCCTACACAGCTGGGGAGTGTTCAACACCTCCTGGCAGCATTACAGTGGCAGAACTGACTCCTGTGTAGCTGTAGAGTGTATTGTAATCCTTCGGGATGAAGGGTGCTACACACAAACGCAATACATGACCTCGGCCCTAAGAAATGCCATACTGGAGCTGGATAATGCTCCATCCAGTCTGATATCCTCTCGCTAAAAATAGTCCATTACTCAACTTTTCACATCATGACATCACTCTGGACCCTGCATTCATAGCCCCTCCACAAGTATTTTGTACTCATTTGGGTTTGTTACTTGGTTTCCTAGGACTTCACGGTTGCCCGTGTGACACGTGATGGTCAATGCTGAACATCATGGTGACAGTAGGGATAGAACTCAGCTCCGCTTATTCCAAGAGCACAGGCCCCTACCACCTAAGCTAAAGGAGACTCAGCATTAGCTGTATAGGGACTAAGTCACACAGCTGAGAAATCCTGACTCTCTCCAGAGAGGGACAGTGATACAAACCACATGTGCTCGCCAGTTTACCCTCCCTTTTCCATGGAAAATGGATTTCTCACAACGCTTCCATTATTTTAAGTTATTTAAAAGAAACAAAACAAGACTTGAAGATACAAGGTTACTCCCAACCTCTGATGGCTCAGCGCCTCCGTGGAGACAGAAATCTGCTGCTCTAGGCAGACAAGCTTCTGACTCCTGCTAAGCTCTTTGCCTCACCAATGGCTTGTGGCAATGAGTTCCACAGGTTAGCTGTTCATTGTATATAAAATATTCCGTTTACTCAATTTGCAAACTTGCCCCCTTTCAGTTTCATTGAACGTGCCTTTGTTCTTGTATTAAGAGGAAGGACGAATAGCAGAGCTCAATCCATCTTCTCTAGATCAATTGTTACTTTTTAATGCCTTCATCACTCTCTCTCAGGTAAACAGTCCTAGTTTTTTCAGCCTCCTTTCAGAAGGAAGTAGCTGGAGGGGGTCATCATAACAATGCTTTCCATACCATCATAACAAACACTCTGTGAAGAGATCACAGCTCCCTTGGGAGGCAGTCTTGCTCACATGTACTCTCCTGGTGAATAAAATAATTTCTCCCAGTCAACTGTTTTCCCCTCCTGCTCCCACAAGCTGCTCACAGGAGGGCAGCCCCACATCCATGCTCCTTTCCCAGGCCACCCAGCAGAAATTGGGAAAACACATGCCATCTCTGATTGCTCTGTGGTAGGCAGCCAGCCACTACTGGCGCTCACAGGACGGTTGGTAAGCATGAGTCGGGAAGGGGAACGAGCCAGCATGGGAGGATAAAGGGAGCCATCAAGGGACAGAGGAGAGTCATCATGTGGGCAGCAAGAGAAGAGAACAGAGGGAGTAGGGGAAAGAGGAAGAGTAAAGGGGCACTAGTGCACCTAAACAACTAATCTAGGATTGGAAAGTGTTCCTGACAATTATGTAATCATACAAGAGTCCATCGGGCTGTGCAAAACACACACACACACAAATCCTATAGGGGCTAGGTGATGGCAGGCTGGGCTGTAAAGGTTTTTAATCAGCTTGAATCTGGATGGCTGCATTACTCCCAAGCAGAGAAGTCACAAGTGTATTATCCAGACTCTACCCCTCCTGCTGCTCCAAGCATTCCCAACCAGCAACACTTGACCTGATTCTTGTCAGTTTCGTAGCTGACCACAGGGTTCTGACTGGCAGCTGTGAAAACTGACCGGGTAGCAGTGGCAGCATGGGCGCGGTCAGCCTGAAGACTCAGGCAGACAGCACTGCATAAATTTATGCTGTGCTCACATACATAGGGCCAACTTTGCAACCATGAGAGCTAGGTTTTGTTGTTGTTGTTTTTTGAATGGAAGCCTCCCATGACTCTTCCCCAGCTGCTCCCGCCTAGAAATGGAAAAAGCATCACCTTCACGAAAGCAAACAGGTCAAACGAAAGTCAGTTCAATTTTATCTGATGTGCAAGTACTGAGAGAGCAGATCTATTTGTTTCAAGGGCATGCACTCAGTTTTTCCTCATGTGCCCTTCGATCATCCTGCTATGCATCCCTTGGGTTGAAGGTGCTTTACAATCACCCAACCTGTTCTGTCCTAGCTGTTGATTGCTGGGTATTTCCAGATCAGGGGAAGGTGTGGAACTGCACAGGGCTTGTACCTGGCTGGTAGGTTCATTGCTTGGACAAGACCACATCCAGTGGAAGGCTGAGACCGAGGCTAAAGCTGGAGAGGCTGGGGATGGTTTTCTCCTGGGCAAGTACCTCTCTGTGTGCTAGCTCAGTCCTCAAAGCCCACACAACAGCTACTCCAGATAGCCCACATCTTCCCATTTCTTACCCTGTCTTAGGGGAGGCAGTGCAGCCTAGCAGACAGAGCACTGGATTGGGACTTAGAAAACCCGGGCATTCGATTCCTGGCTCCACCACTGACCGGCCCGGTAGTCTTGAGTAAATCACGCTCCCCCTTTGTGCCTCAGTTTCCCCATCTACAAAATGGGATAACAACACTGACCTCCTTTGTGAAGAGCTTTGAGATCTACTGATGAAAAGTGCTAGATTAGAGCTAGATATTATGATGACCCAACAGCAACAGCTTAACAATCAAACTGAACCTAATAGCTTAGGTCCTAAAGTACTTATTGATGGTGTTGCTTTTTCAGCAGGTGGAGCTCTTGCCTTTCGAAGAGATACTCAAACCAGTGCCTCAGGAGGACATGGAAACATAAAACCAAGGTCCTGGCCACTCTGTACTCAAAGATCCACAGCATGTTTGGCAAAAAAACTTCATCCTCCTTGCTAAACACCAACTTGGATATTTACATTCTGTCCCGCTACAATTTCTATCAATTTTACTTGCTTCTTTCTTTCCTGTCCTTAGCTGCTGTTTAGTGTTGCAGGGCGCTGTTCAACAGCTGCCATGTTCCACCCTGGAGGTGGCCACACTGGGAGATCCAAACCGTTACTGGCAATTGTAAAGTATGGCTACCCTGCAGCTGGGAGGGTAGACAAGACAAGACAAGACAAGAGGGTAGATCTGGGTAGACAAGACTCACCAGTTTTGCTCCAGCTATCACGTTAAAATATAGTAGCGTGAACGCTGCGGCACGAGTGGATGGCTCAGACTAGCCACCTGAGCTTGCATTCAGGCGGATAGCCCGAGCCACAGCGTCCACACTGCTATTTTTAGCACGCTAACCTGATCAAAGCGAGCGTGAGTCTTGCTATCGAGGTCGGGAGGCACGTTCCAAGCTGCAGCGTAGACATATCCTAAGATGCTTTGGGATTTGTCTGGATGACAGCTCCTATACAAATGTAAGACACAATCATGACTCAGCACTTATGGGGCCTTTGTGTGTCCCAAGCACGTGACAAACAACTAATCAATCAATAGTAAGGTCCTTATTCAGACTCGACTGAATAGCTAAGCTCTCATCGGGTCTCCCGCTTTGTTCTGAATGCAACTAGGGTAAGGCTCTAGGCAGCAGTTTCCTAGCGGAGGTCCTGCCAGTGAGAACGCTCACCCCAGGGAGCAAGTTGAAAAATGATATCACATCACAGGGCACGCTCACAATCTCACAACGATGACGGACATCAGTTACGCCTGCTGAATACAAACGCGGCACTGCCTTATTGCATGGGCCAGTACTGTATGAACCGCTCACACTCGCACAGAACATTCCTAGTTTGTACCGAGGACCTAATTCTACAACAGTGTGGGCCAGGTGTTGGACTGGGAATCAGGAGACGTGTGTACTATTCCCAGTTCTCCTGCTGACCTACTGTATGGTCTTGAGCAAGTCACTTCACCTCTGTGTGACTCAGTGTCTCCTCCCACCCCTTTGTGCCTT